CAATTTCAAAAATCCGTTCGTAAACTTTTGAAGAGGAGCATCTGACGAATCGAACCATGAAAAAATATCGATTCTAGCACATCAGGAAAAGTTTTTTGAAAGGTTTTTAAAAACGTGTTTTTGGACTTTGAAAATCGCGCTTCTAGAGACCTTGACGGGTAACGGTTTTGATCAAAAACAATTTTAAAGACATTTTCTGATTCAGTTTTTCAAGCTGAACAAGAATATGTCCTTTTAAAGTGTCTACGTTGATTCAGAAGTGGAGAAATGCAATTTTACAAAAATCATGCAAAAAAACAAGTTTTTTGAAAACCTGATGTTTTTTTGATTTTTCAAGCTGAAAAAAGCATCAAAATAACTTTAAAAACATATATTCGTGATCGCCGTAAAATTCTCTATCAGATGCGGTATAAAAGACGAAAATTTAAAATTTTACTCGAAGTTCGCCTTGCGCGAACCTTACTACATTTGAAGATTTCCATGTTTTAATGTAAAATATTAGTTGCGATACGATAATATAGCCAGCGATTATCGCATAGATAGCGATGCAAAATTTGTCAGTATAGATTTAACAATTTTGCCCGATGCTTGCAAAACACTGTTCGTGCTGTTGTGTAGTGAATGATATAATGTTTTAGTGTACCTTAATTTTGGCGTGCTGATTTTGATTGTCATTCTGGTGTTAAATGGAAGAAAGCAAAGACGTGGCCATTCGGCGCAGCTTGTAAAAATATGCTCTAGTTTATTTCTGCCCTAAAAGCTCGCAAGTAAATTCATCAAATCCAACATTGATGTTAGATCGGCGAAACCAATGACAAATTATGCGCGTTGTACACATTATTCTTCGTATAATCTCGATTATTCTCAATTTGTGGGTATATTTAACTGTCCTTTTGCTTGTTGCCATTGCGTATCAACATTTTCAGTCACTTATACGTGGCGAGAGAAGATTAGAAAAAATAGAAAATAGTGAATTTCACAAGACAATGGTGCAGAACTCTACTATGATACTGCCCACGAATCTATATGAAGATCACACTGTCTTAACTGCTCAAAACTTACGCTTCCAAATTAGAAACTATCTGGAGACAACTGTCACATGTGTAGGCTCTGATTACAGCCGTACATGCCTCTATAACAACCTTTACTATAAAGATAAAAAGTTTGTGGTTTTGACAGTTCGAGGGAACCATTTACCTTTTCTATTAGTGCGAATTGGTATACGTGTTGGCACACGTCTCAAACAGGGTATAGACCCACAAATTATTTCCTTTTGTGAACCGAGAATTGTCCAGTTCAACTCAAGCGCCGATCTTGAACGTTTTGTCCATGAGACAGCGAAGCCGCGCGTATTATCGAGTGTCACCGTCTATTTTAAGCAACCGTGGCACTTCAATATTGGTCATGCACTCTTTGATGGCTTGTATCCGGGCTATATGGCACTCACTCATTTTCCTCCAAGACATCTTCTACCTTTTCGGTCGCTCATAGACATGGACAACGTCGCATGTGAGACTTGCTGGAGTGAAGATGTAAGCAGTCGATTCAGTGGTCTCGGTATAATCAAAGAGCAAATCTTGAAAAACATGTCGGTTCATAGCTGGTTCGCCTTCAATGAGCTAGTCATGGGCAACGGGGATATGTGTCAACGTTGTATTCAGCCGAACCTGCAACTAGCAGGAGGTGTGGAACTTGATGGGTCCAGACTTTTCCGAGATAGAATGTATAAGCAACATGGATTAGATACTCTAGTTCAGCGACGCAAGAACTCAGCCGAAAAGCGGGATCCGAGAAAATCTCTGAAAGCGTATTTTATTCACAATAAAGCGTTTTCAGTTGCAGATCAAAAGGAAATCAATGATTCAATTATCGAAATCAATAAATACGCCGATCTTTATTTGAAAAACAGTAATCGTATTGATAAACTAGAATGGCCTCTTGTACACGTCGCTTACGTGAACTACCGCGACATTAAAGTCCAAAATAAAGAGTTCACTCACTTTCAATCCAATAACATCTACTTCAGAAGGCCAACTTATAAGGTAGTAGAAACCGATTTTATGGCACAACTAAGACTATTGAGTGATATCGATATCCATATTACAGGACCAGGAACGGGTCAAATGTACCAAACCTTTCTGTCCGACGGATCCGTAACAATTAATTTGGGAAAATTGAAAAATACTTCATACCAGAAACCAATGACCACATACGCGTCTTTCATGGAACAATATATGACCGCTGGTACACCGTACATTAAAGGTCTTTACTACCCAATTAATGAAAGACGCAACGGTATTAAGAAAAAAGAATTAGTTACACTAATACAAAGAGCTGCAAAGCTAATTACAGATGGATTTCGCTTACCAGTAAATCCAAGAGAGAACTTAGCTGCGGATGGACATATTTTCATAGAGATGTGTGAGAAAGATGTAACTTTTTGCAGAGAAGTAACAGTCAGAGCACCATTTCACGAAACTTCTTGTTTCCACATGTGGGTTGAAGACATGGTGCATGAAAATCGACAGTGGAGCTCACAAGGTTTCGTTGATGGCAAGAGAATAATTCGCTGTCCTTTGAATCACACATTATTGCGTCAGTTAAGACAGAAATACAACATTGTTCATGGAACAACTTAGTTTTCTATGAATAAACTTACACTCACCATATTCTTCGAAAATATACAGTGAGTACCAAAATTGATAAACAAAGAACTTGAGCTTTTTTCGTTTGCCTATATTTTAACAGCTAATTGACAGTAAATCGTTATTTTTACTACATTGCTGTGTATGCTGTCTAGCATATATAAGAAATTTCAATTCAGAATTCCAATTTGTTGAAGTTTCATTTAAAAAACAAACTAAGCACATGATTTTTCATGTTTCCAAAATTGATCAGGAAGCTAGCATAAATAAAAAATTTTGTGTCTAAAAGTTTTTCTTTTTTGAAGTTTTTATATTTTATTGGACGTTGTTTCATACGATAGCACTCATATAAGCGATTAGAAAGTGATTCGACTAGCTTCCCAGTCAGACAAGCAACGAAGAATAACGCGTAAAAATGAATCAAAACCGCACATTTTTGAGATTTTATTTTCGTTAAAAATTCTACGCATTTTTATGCGTTATTTTGTTGAAATAAGTGACTTGATAGAGGAAAAACAGCTATAATCCGTACACTTACATTGCTTATGAATTATCTATATAGTTTTAAACAAAATGAGCGTACGAATTGTAGCTGTTTTTCCTATATGAAGTCACTTATTTCAACAAAATAACGCATAAAAACGCGTAGAATTTTTAACGAAAATAAAATCGCAAAAATGTGCGATTTTTATTCGTTGCTTGTCTGACTGGATTCTTTGTAACACCCAAAGCAATACCTACCATGCAACTCGCAGTGGCTAACGTCATTGATCTTCGTTCTTTGATCGATGTTTCTTCATACGCCATTCAAGTTTATCCCCAAGATTTTCAATACGATTCATATCTGCTGAAAACGGTGGCCAAGTCATTCGTTCAAATGCGCTGTTTGTTCAACCAATTCTTGACAACATGAGCATTGTTTCGGGTCATTGTTCTGTCGAAAGGCCATGTTTTTTCCTCAGTCCAGTTTTATGGCAGATTGAAACAACTTGTTTTGCAAAATGTCTTTGCACATTTCTCCCGTTATATTGCCGCGAAGAAAAGCCAAATTCACTACTCCATTCCAGGTGAAACATCCCCAAACTTTTACATTACCTCCTTCATATTTTACTGTTGGCACAGTACATGCTAGTTGAAATTCTTTGGACGAACGTCACGCACTCTAAAAAAGATGGTAATGTTATGTATTCGTTTCTCTCACATTATTAAACTCAGTGATCAGCGAGACAGCAGCGTGATGATATGACAACAGAGCGAAACAAAAGGATAATTTTCCTCCGATGGAATCGAACCAACATCTTCTGCTTTCCGAGCAGCTGTACTACCACTATACTAGAAATGAGCGTGTATGATTCGTTTGTTCCGACTTATGATCGAAGGGGAACACTTCAGTCATAACAGGCAATTTTACTGAACCCTCCAAAAAGGTTTCGTAGGTGTCTAAAAGCTTCTAAATGTGTTCAAAGACTTGAAAAAGCGATTTTTCAAATCTACGAAACCTTTTTAAGTTCCGTACAGTGAAAAAAGGTTTCTTATTTTCTTACACAACCTTTTTGGTTTCGCACTATGGTTTTATATTCAATCAAAAGGTTCACTAGGGAACTATAAAGGTTTCGTAAGAAAATACGAAACATTTTTGGGGAGTTCGGTAAGATTGCCTTTTTACTTTAGAATGCACCATGGCCTTTCTATCCGTTCCAAAAATATTGAATTCTGATTCATCGAACCATACTAGACGTTTCCAGTAATCCATATCTTTATTTTCATACGTTTTTACATACTTTAAACGTTTGGCTCGGTTTACCTTACTCACGTATGATTCTTTTTCTAGCAATACGTCCGAAAAGCCCGATTTCATGAAGACAATGATGAACTGTTTGATTAGATATAATTACGTCAAGTCCCTTTGCAATTTCCTGTCGGGCAGCTGATGGTGATCTTTGTCGATCCACTTTGACTTTGCGTTGAATAGCTTGATCTACATATGCTATTGTATTTCGTTTTCGACCACAGCCCAAAATAGTTGCAACACATTTAGTATTTTGTATTTGACAATAATAGAATGGATAGTATTTCTTGAGCACAACATTTTCCTGGCTATTTCATGCTCAGAATCGCCGTTTAAAAAATGTTTTAGAGTAATTTATCGAAATTCATTCGAATGCTCTGTTCTTTCAAAAGTCATCACTTGTTACACTTTTATAAGATAAAAGAAATAATTTTTAGTCAATGCACCACATTGATTTTATATATGACTACACTTAAACAGTCCAGTCAGACCGGACTAGAAGAAAAAAGAGCGTCTATTGAACCACCATTTCGTTCTTTTCTGCGCTTGTTGATCAATTTTAGTACTCACTGTATGTGAGTCCCACAAAATGAACAGGCGGAAATTCTCGAGTTAGAACACAACTCTAGAAACCATCACTAGAGGCTAGCATCAGAGTCCGGGCGACTCTGAACTAAAGGAGACAAAAATAAAAACCGATGAGTACGCAGTGGTAAGACAGATCGTCGCGGGTGTGCATAAGTAGGTCTGGATGCCAATACGAGTGCAGATCTTTTACCGACATTCGGCCTCCGCTACACTGACGTCCTTACCCTTACCTTCACTAATCTTACCTAAGTGCTCACTCGCATACACACACGTGATGAACTATCCCGTGACGCTTTGTCCTGATGTTAATTACAGAGCTTGTCCGGCTAACTCTACTACCGGGCAGTGAGTGTGGTAGTATTTTTCTGAATTTTACTTTTCTCATTACTTTTGAACAGTTCACCAGAGCATCCATGTAAAAAAAATAAGCGTAAAAATCAACATTCACATGATTTTCATCGATTCGCAGCTCCAATAATCGATGAAAATCTCGAAATTAAGATTTTTTTTGATTAATTTTATGATTATAATCGACTTTTTGGCGCATTTGATTCGTAATCAACGTTTTCTCATCCATTATCACCGTTTTTATTACTGACATCTATTAAAACCGATTAAAAAATAAAGTAATCGCTCAAATCCGCTGTTTTATTACTTGAGTTGAATCAAATTTTACAAATAATCAATTCTCATCAGTAACTGGTGATTTTCTTCTAGAAAATAATCGATTTATAATGCTTTCAGTCCATATGAATCGATTATATTCTTTAATCGGTTAAAATCTTAAATCTAAAAATCGTCGACAATCTAGTAACATTGAGCATGATTTAAAGGAATCGTTTAGATTTTTGACTCAATTGAAGAATTTTAATGAGTATAATCGAACTCATATTAACAGATCTAGAAGCAGTAATATTATAGAGCCATCAACCGAAAATTC